ACGACACCGACAAGATAATATGTTAGTAATATAATTTCCTTGGGTTTCTAAAATATCAATAATATTAAAATTGGAAAGAAAATTATCTTGATAAGAAYAAAAATTTAATTGATAAGCGGAACAGGGAAGTTTATCCATTGTTTATGTTTTTCCTACGCCTAAACCTAAATGTGTATTGTGTTCAGAGTTCAGATGTTCAGAACTAAATAGTAAATGATCAATAATTGTCTTATAAATAAAAAAACTTGTATTAACTATGATCACATAAGACTCACAACAATTGACAAGCAAATTCTTACACTCGTGCTCATACATGGAGACCAATTTTGCCGAGGTCGAGCACAGAGCCATCGAGTACCTAAACCACAAGCAATGGAGCAACGCGTTTTTCTGTTTCGATCAGTTRTTGGAAAACGCAGTAGCCAAAAGTTTGCCGTCAGAACGGTTCGTCGGCTATCTATTGGGCCGGTCACAGTGCAGTCTAGAATTGAAAAAGTATGAAGATGTCATTCACGATTGCCGACACATCATATCTATGCTTACTGACGACGAAAATGCGTATAGTTCACGTGTGCGACGTAATCTAGTTAACGCACTGTTTGCATTGAAAAGATATGGCGAAGCAGAACAAGCTGCCTTGGAATGGGTAGTGAGGTCGGACAATAGCAGTGAGGCCAAAAAAATGTTGGACACTGTACGCTTGGTGTGGAGTATGTCAAAAGAAGACATCCCCACACCAGTACAGACATTGGAAGATCAGTTGAACCAGATTAATGAGGATCTGCTGTTTGGAGATAGACTGGATTCATGGATTGCTACTGGTGTCAGAGAGCAGAGTCGAAGGAATAGAAAACATCCTGTTGAACTTGTTGACGATGAAAAAATGGTTGACCAACTATTTGAGTCTTCTAGTAATGAAAATAATAGCGTACAACATTTTGAGAGAAACAGCCAATTCTTCGAACGGTTTAATGGAGCTGGTAAGTAATARTTTACCATAATAACATATGGTTTCAGTTATACAACTAATTTAAAAATTATTTACTCCTTAGGGCCAGAAAATGGTATGACTTACTCTAATATACCAAAGCATAACGGTGAAGCGTATGATTTAAGAACAAATTATCATTCAAAAGTCACAGAAGTTTTCCAAGAACCAACTAGTAAGTAATTTATTGACAATAAAATACATATATAGAAAAGGTAGTAAATTGGAATAATRAGTGAACATTTTTCAAAAATATATTTTAAAATTACTAGTTTTAATATTTTGTGAAAATTGCGTGTTATTAGTTTTTGAGTTACACCAAAAAAATAAGATTGGTTTTGTTTTAAATACCTATTTTTTTTTCTGATGTTTTTTAAACTACGAGGAGATTTGAAATCCCAAACTTGAATTCACTAAATAAATTTACTTTTCTATCAAAAAATATGTTGATGTCAAAAATCAAACCACTTTTACCACCTCAAATGGTATAGTGATTTATATATATAAATCAATATTACATTTTTTGATAAATATTCTGGTTAACTGTTAATTGTTGCATTTATTTATTTAAAAATGCTTTATATTAAAAAGATTATTGGGTGTTTATAATAATATGAATTTAAAATAAAATTTGCTCTTAAAGTTTATATTTATTAAAATGGTAATTTATTATATCTTCAATTAATATTTAGGCACTATTACACAATAGCCAGTTGCACACAAATTTAATTTAATGATTAGCTAAAGTTGAACAATTATGAGTTATCAAATCATGTTTAGGAGATTATTATCTAACTATTGATTAGGTAATAGTGTAAATGTAATCCAGTATATTTTTACTTACAAATATTGGATATTAGATACTACATTTTAAAATAAATCCTTTAACTTAGAAAATAATAATAATTTAATCTAAAAACTTAATTTTTTTTATTTGAAAAAAATACCGCTTTTATTTAAAACTTTTTTCTTTTGTTGCATTAAAATACCAAATTTAAATATTCATTTAATTTTAAAATTTATTAAGCTGAAACTTTTCTTTCTAACCCATACAACCATATAGAAAACAAACTATTAATTATGTATGTTCATGTGTTTTTCATAAGAAGTGTCATCCACTGTACATACACTTGACAATTGTAACTCATTGATTTAAAGAAATATACATATACTTAAATTAATATCTAAGTATATAAATATTATTGAAATGTTTCATTTCCCAACCTAACTTTTTAGACTAATCACGTGAATAAAAAAATCACAAAAATAAATAATATGAATATATATATATATATAGCTATCCTCCTATCTACCCACTTAGTTGATTTACTGTTAGGCCTATATATAGGAATTATTCATACAACACTTTTTTGTATACATTTAGCAATTAAAGTTTTTTTTTAAATGAAAATGAAAGTCATTCTTTATTGCTAATGTAACACATAAACTATTAGTTACTGTATATTTATTTTTATTTCTAAAATTTATAACTGTTTTATCAATATTTTTAGTAATTTGAATAAATAAGACTAATTGATAATAATTCAACTTTTAGGAAAGGAAAAGCAGACAGAGTTAAAATTTCCAAAAAAAAATGAAATGAGATATTCTTGTACATATTGTGGTATATCATTCCATTTAGAAAACCAACTACGGGCACATTGTGCTACTGAAAATCATCAAACAGTTATTATGTCTGATGAAGGACGTGATTGGAAATGGCGTCCACCACCACGAGGATTCTCTTCTGAATGCTATACGTATGAGAACCTAATTAAATTGTAGATTAATCATTTTATTGATGATTTTTAATTTTAGCTTATGTGAAGCTTTTTCGGAAGGAGAAGGAACCGAAAATTCTTGCAAGTATGGTGCTCAGTGTGTTGAAGCACATGGTATGGAAGAATTAACTGAATGGAAAGAAAGATTTGAATACAGGCGAATGAAATTACAACGTGCAAGTGAAAATAAACTCTATGGGAAATCTTATACAGAGCAGTTATTAGAAAGGTAAATCAATAAAAATTTGAATAACATATTATTGAAAACCGTTTTTATAAACATGAATATTGTTATTAATAATTAATATTCTTACAGGTGGGTTCAGTCAACAAATCCAGAAAAGATAATGCGAGAGAGTTTAGACAGTGTTGTTGAATCTCACGATTGTGACTTAGTAACTACTGTTGAATCCAAAACTAGTAATCGAGAATGGACCTTTGTCCTAGAAACAACTTCATCTCTTCAAGCTGTGGCGTTACTCCAAGATACTTATCGTAATCATTTTTCCCTAACACATATTTTGGTTGATAATGGTTTACAACAAGTTGCTTTCGATATGGAACCACCAAATGATCAAGAGTGGGTATCTCAAGCTCAGCATCCTGTTTCTCAGTCCTTGTCTTCCAAATTAAGACATCAGATTAAAGTTTATTTTACAACAAATATTTATGGAACCTTTAGACAAGCAGTTGTGTTTGATTTTGGTCTTGGTCCTGTTCTGGTTAAACATCTTTGTGTAGACGTAATACCTGTGACAGATTGTGGTAAAGTCAAAGAAATTCACAAAGAATTAATATTATCCTCTATGGAACGGTGGAACCCAAATAATTCAAATATTGTGGAGTTTCAATCATCGATTGGACCTACTCTAGTACAGGATGATAGAGAAAGAGAGCAAAACTTACTTTTGAGTTATCCAGCACCTTGTCCATCTACTTTTTCATTAACTCATACCACTATTTCAGAGAAAAAACTTACAAGGAACAATTATAGAGCGAGAATTCATGAGTTATTATATGTTGAAGAACTTGCACGTTATGAACAAGTATTGATTTGATTTTTTTTTTAAATATTTGGCTATTTAAATTATACAATATGTATTTTTTGATTTTAGGTGGCCAGATACAATTTAACTGCAAAATTGCAATTGGCTAGCTGCTATCTACTCTCACCTAGTGGTGTTGCTGCTAGTACAGCAAAATATTCTCATAATAATGAGTTGTTTGCATTATTACAACTCGGAACAGATGTATCTGAAGACACTTCTGCTGGAAGATTAATTTTAAATAATTGTACCACTGTATATCTTTCCCCAGCTAAAGGTAAAAAAAAAATTATTTGTRTAATATTTAAATCATTATTTTTATCTTGTAATATTATTTCAGACAAAAAGTCATCTGATGAAAARCGAACTGTTCATGAAGCGCAAATTGAAGATAAAGGAAAAAACGTTATCTACCTTAGGTTATCTGCCAATACAGTTACTAGTCTTGGTCTTAAAGCAGATACAAATGTGAAATTTGATGTTCAGTTTCAACTAAATCGAATACCGTACTGTGAATGGCATTATGCTATCGATCATATTGCTGACTTCAAAATTATCTTTCCTGACACATTTTTGGAACCAATTATACCTTGGAGTCCAAAACGACAATGGGTAGAAATAATTGACAAAAAATTAAATGTAAAACAAAGAGAAGCTGTTATTGCTATTACAACTCCTACAAACATTAGTTTACCTCCAATACTAATTATTGGTTTGTTCATAAACTATTAAAGACATTCTTTTAAAAAAAGCTGAAAATATCTGTTTTTTAGGTCCATTTGGTACGGGCAAGACTTATACTTTAGCCCAAGCTATTAAACAAACATTGTTACAAGATAATACAAGGATCTTAGTTTGTACRCATTCAAATAGTGCAGCAGATTTATACATAAAAGACTATTTACATCCATATGTTGAGGATGGCCATACAGAAGCAAAGCCATTGAGG